TCTTCTGTGAGTTGTTGCCTTGTGAATTGTATTTGGGTTTATTATAATAAATTATGACTACTTAAAATGTGCTTTTTATGTCCTCTTTTACATTAACTTCAGTAAAGGATGGAGTACCGGAAAGTCAAAAGAGGTGATGTGAGTCATAAGATGACTGGACTTTAAAACTAAGTGCTGAGAGAAGGTTAATAGGTCGTAAACTGGTCAGGTTTTTATTAAAAACTAGCATTGCTAAAAAGTGAGTGATGGACTGGACTGAGAACCATGTTCTTAAATATAATGCTTTTTTGGGGGGTAGTTATATTTTAGAAGCTACTGGTAAGTTACCACCAGGCAGGGAAGAAGACTGAAAAGGACTCTGGAAACCATTACAGTGGGGAAAAAAAATCGATTTTCCCAACTTCAGTCAAGATGATGTGAACTTGAAAAAGATAGATAAAATGAAGGCAGAAATGCATATCTAGCTTTTGTTCCCAGACTTGAACTGCTATTCACCTTTCCATTTGGAAGAAAGGAGCTATTATAATTTGTAACCAGCAGCATATATTATACTCTGAGATGTGTCTTCTGAATTCTACCTAGCCAATGCTTACCTGTGATTATTTTTTTAAGCTTTTTTCCTATGAGAAAAAAAAATCAGTTATTTATGCATCATATCAATTTACAGATTATAAACATGTAAAATTAAATAAAGGATGTGTGCTGGAAAGCTTGCCATTTTTCTAGTTATAACAGTTGCTCCAATAAAAGAGGTTACTTTAAAAGCTTTCTTTCACAAGAGAGCGAGTTCTGTGGGCAGAATTTCCTGTTCTGTGGGCATTTATACCTAAATGTTTCATGTGCAGTAGTCCTAGGGGAGAATAACACTCCAAAGAATTCAGGACTGTATGAAGAAAATAGCTATGAGTTTGTTTCTGAAAGTCAAGTAAGGTTTTGAGAGTGTGGGGGTTTGTTTTGTTTTAAATTATTAATAACTGTTAACTAGTAATGACATTTTTCTGATTCAGGGTAGTTTTGACTGGTAGTCACAAGTGACTGTGGCATTACTTTGGAGAAACATAAAAGGAATCTTCATATATTCCTGATAACCTAAAGATCCTGCTTTGTTGCACATTGCATAAAGCCATGCTACTTATGTTACTCCTCTGTCTCTTCTAGCTAGTATATATGTTGCTTAAAGGGAAGAGAAATGAAATGCTCATCTCCCTTTGTATATGGGCAGTTGAAAGAAATAAGTAATAAGTGAGTTGCCTGAGGTCCTACAGTGTGAACTAGAAGTATCATTATCTAAAACCAAGCCCATATTTTCTGATTCCCAATCCAGTTGTCATCTTTCAGCTGCAAATCTCTCAAGATTCTTTTCTGGCATATTGGAAATGTTCAGCTATATCAGAGTGATATGGCCTTTATGACTGCAAAGTTTTTGATTGTTATGAGATCAGCTGAATCAAGTAAAAATAATTTTTTAAAAAAAGGAATATAAGAAAAACAATACTGAAAATGAGAAAAGACCATTACTGTATCACCCTCTAATAAGTCAGTTCTTGAAAGTGTTCATAAAAATATTTTTGTTTATTTGGGAAGAGGGTTTTTTGTTTGTTTTTGTTTTTTCCAGAATGATGAGTGTTATTTAGTTTTCACACTTGTTCAGAAGTCACCAGTGTTTATTTAATCACTGTTTTATGTTGGCTCAGTTTGCTGAGTTTTTACTTCACTTACTCAGATATTCTTTTAGCTATGCTATACATTGCTTTGTCATGTGTGGTGACATCATTTGAATTTGAAAATAGTGTTCTTGGTGCCCAGTCCTGCACATTATATGAAATACAGCATGAGCTTTAGGTTCATTGAGAAGTATCGAAGCTGCGTATGCTAGGAAATATTTTAGGGTCAAGTATATTATTATTTGTGCTGCTGCAGAGTCCTAATGTATTGACAGGCTAAGATGCTGTTTATAGCTGTTTCTTTGAAAATGTAGAAAATATTGTTTCTGCAAATTGTGGCATACAGTAGTTGTTTTGGCTGTTTGCCCTAGGTAATTGCTTCCAGTGGCTGAGCTTAGATTAAATAGTGAAGCTAGACAGATGCTGAATGCTTTTAGTTCTCCCATTTTTTTGCAAATTTAAAATATGTCAGTAAATACTTTATTTTGTGTTGTTTGTTGTGGCTAATGATATGATTTTTTTTCTTTTCAGAGCGTGCTAGTGAAAGCATCCATCAACTGAAATATGCCTTGGAGGAAGGGCAGTTTACAAAGGGTGAGGGTGAAGTTGGATTTGACCAGTCCTCTGTGGACAAGGACAGTGATGATGTGGACAGGAGCAATGATGACAGTGGGAATGCAGCCTGGCAGGAACTGCTGCACAGTCATGCAGGTAGGATTACTCTGAAAGCAAATAGTTTAACAATTGTTAGAAGTTACACTAATTTCAATGAAAAAAAGTAAATGTTTTTTGTTACGTTTTTTTATCTCTTCCTAGTTAATCAACTTAAAATTTTGTTGCAACATCAAGAAAGAATGGAAAGTGAAGTCTCTCCATCAAGGAGGAAGATGTCGTTCTGTGTATGTTTCTTCTTGTTTCTATTGTGTAGTTTGAATGAACAGCGTGCATGAGGAGATCAATTTTCTAGTATCCAGGAAGTACTGAATCATTTTTATATTCTGAAATATAGGAGATTCCTGAGACTGTGGCCAGAACATGGTATGTTTATGCCCATAGTGGAAGAAGAAAAAAATATCTATAATACAGGATTTAGACTTTTCTCCTCTTTTGTTGACCGTGCAGTGTGGGTCACAGTCCACAGTGCTTTCAGTTTTTTCATCTTTTTCTTTCCACCGTAAGTTCATCCTTTTTGTTTTGGAAACGGTTGGGATCAACTACATGGACAAATTTCCATAACAGCAGCCTCTGTTTTCCTTTGACTGTTCTTTAAGGATTCTCAAAGGCCTTCTTATGCTGTAGCTATGCTTTTTCTTCAGAGGATTAGAGATGTTCATGTAACAACAGGTTTTGTAGTGCTCTGCCAAAATGCAGTGGTCTTTGTCAATGTTAGCTTAGATCCTTACATGGGCTTTTCAGTTTTACACTTCTCGCAGCAGAACTGCACTAAAGTATGTGCAATGGACAGTGCAGTTACACAGCGACTGCTAGATACTAGTATGCCTATAGGAAAGTAATTCAAAGGCATTGTTCCAGTTTTATCTTTTGATGGCCTCCACTGACTACTTTTGGTTTACACGAAGCAAGACAAGCAGCTCTTGCTGTCACACTTGAGGTAGCAGCAGAACAATCTAAAGCCTAGCTGTGTTGCTTTGAGCCTGTGTAATGAGCCTAGCCCTACTATTCTGATGTTGAGAAGTTTTATTTGAAGTTCAACTTTTCTTGATGTTCTAAAATCCATGAGTTTAGTCTGATTGTCCTGCCAGGTACTTTTGCCTCATAACAATGCAGGACAGAATTAGCGTTTCGTAGCTCAAGGGAATGGTGCATCATTGGTTGATCTTGACATGACATGAATCAGTATCAGTTTGTAATTAGCCTTTAGAGGGGAAGGAAAGCATCTTTTAATCCATCTTTGTCAAAGTTTCCTACTTATATTGGGAAATTTTAGTAGAGTGAAAAATTCCAGAAAATGGGATACTTTTTCTAAGAAATATGTGATAGTGTTTTCAGCGAGTGGACTAAAGGATGGAGGAGTAAAGAGAGAAAAGATGGAAATTCACTGTTTTGATAGGGCGTTGTCCCATTTCTTCTTGAAGTTTCCAATGAGAGGGATTCTGTGAAGTGGTGACCTTACTCTCCTTTTCAACTGTCCTACATCTTTTTGCTAACCAGGATGTGGAAGTGTTCTGAAGATAGACCAAGTATAAAACTCAAAAAATGTGCACATGTACCAAAAAAACCCCCCAAAACCATTGTCCTAGTTTTGGCTGGGATAGAGTTAACTTTCTTCCTGGTAGCTGGCATAGTGCTGTGTTTTGGATTTAGTATGAGACTAATGTTGATAACACACTGATGTTTTAGTTGTTGCTAAGCAGTGCTTATACCAGTCAAGGACTTTTCAGCTTCCAATGCTCTGCCAGGTGCACCAGAAGCTGGGAGGGGGCACAGATGGGACCCAAACCGGCCAAAGGGGTGTTCAGACTATATGACGTCATGCTCAGTGTATAAACTGGAGGGAGTTGGCCAAGGGGACAGCAATTGCTGCTTGAGAACTGTCTGGGCATTGGTCAGGGGTGGTGAGCCAATTCCATTGTGCATCACTTGTTTTCTATTATTATTAATTTCCCTCTACTATTTTATTAAACTGTCTTTATCTCAACCCATGGGTTTTATTTCCTCCCCCCCCTGATTCCCTCCCCCATCCCGCCAGGGGATGGGGGGAGAGTGAGCGAGGGACTGTGTGGTGCTTAGTTGACAGCTGAGGTTAAACTACAACACCCTTATAAAATATGAGCTTGTCTGGTGGTTTACTGGACACAGCATAAATGCTTCTTGTATAAGAAGATTCAGATTCCCCAAAGGCGAAGGAAAGCAAACTTAGATTATGAGTAACCTTAACCTGTTCCTTTGAATTATGCTGAAATACCTGATGACTACTGAATAGTAGATGACTGCATGTGTCTATAGCTAAAAATAATATTTCACAGAAAGTATACTGTTTAGTAACTTTACAGCATTTCATATATATAGATAACATCGTCTTAACAAAATTCCCTTCTCTTGCCCATTGATAGAAGTTGCAGTAGACATCAAGTGAGTATGTCTTTTCTTTGATTACACCCAGATGGTTGGGCAGAGATTGTTCTTTTGCTCTCTACCTCATCACCTGAGGTCAGGGCCCGGCAAGATTGCTTCATACAACAACTGCACTTCTACAAGCTGGGTCTTGGCTAACCTAACTGCACCCAGCCGGGGTTCCTAACTCTGTTGTTATAGCTGGAGTTCCTGTGACTGATTTCCCTTGTTTCTTGCCAGTTTACAGGGCCACAGATTTAAGACTGCCACCAGGAGAGCGTCTAATTCTGGGGTTTAGAGGTTTGAGGCTTTCTGGAAAAGTATGGGGTTGGACAAATTATATGGGATGTTGGCAAAACTATTTGTCACCATGTAGAATGCTGTCCTCTAAAGCTGCCAAGCATTTATATTTTATAAACCCCTGTGTTTATATGGTAAACTTTTCAATATTAAGAATGCAAATGTGAACAGCATTTCTGAGACTTAGGCATAAATGTTTTGTAAGTCATGCTGATCAGATGTGTCTTTCAGTTTTGTTTTTTTATATTTGGCCTACTTTAAATATATGCCTCCCCTGACCTCTGTTCTTTTACCCTATAATACATATTATCAGAATATTAATGAAAAATTCCTAAATTAATTTATAATTATTTGATAACAATTGTGGAGTAAAAAAGCTGAAAATAAATCAATCACAAATGATCTGCCAGGCATTCACCCTGTGAAAGGGCAGGTGGAGGCTTCTAAATAAAGAAATATCCCAGTGCCAGAGTTACTAAGTTGTGTTAAGAAGTTGTCTGTTTTTTTTTCTGTGGGAAAATATAAATGTATTCTTTTTCTTTTAGTGAAACCATTCTGTAGCACTCCTGTATAGGTGACACCAAAGTTTCTTGGGTTAAACATTAGCACTGTTTTTCAGTGAAAAATAATTTGAATAGAAATGGAGTTTTTCACTTTCTTGAACACTGCTGTGGTGTAATCTTTCCAGGGCGGCAGCTGAAGGTCTCAGTTGTAAGGTGTCTATTAAATTTTCAGAAAAGGAGTGATGAATAGGAGCCAGATGAACAGAAAGATGAGTTACAAATACTATTGGTCCTATATTACATATACTTTAACAAGAGTGATTTGTTTTTTAAAACTTTATGAAGTAGTTGAGATTACCAGACTTTACAGCAAGGTGAATTCTGAGTCAATAGGACATGGAACTTAAGCACACTGAGCCAGGTGGAATACATTGCAAATTCAGGGCCCTTCTCTAAACATTTTTCTAGATGGTTCTGGACAACCGTCTATTTGTCTCTGCAATCGTAGTTCCAGATTTCTCAAGCATCCCCCCATTAATACAACCAATACTTATATTGGATATAATTTGACAGGAAGGCTTTTGTTGCTAGAAACCTGCCCCTCACCCTGGTTAGTGGATTTTATCTTTATCTTTAAAGGTTGAAGAGGGAATCTTAATACCTTGTTGGCAGAACTTGTGAATAAGATAACTAGTAGACATAATAGCCATTAGTAGCTTGGTTTGGGGTTTTTTGAATGATGAATGTTTCAAAAATATTTAAAAAAACAAAGATATAGGTGATCTTTAAGGAGATTTAGGAGTCCAAGTTAGTTCCTGAAAATGAGTTCTACGATCTTTAGGTATATTTGAGAAGCATATCATGGAATAATTTTGCACAGAAAAGTGTGTTTACTGACCTGAGATCTCAGATGTTGGAATTGTATCAGTCTCAAAACTAGCTAGGGATCAGCATAAAGATACTTGTTTTCATTCAGAATAGTGAACTAATGCTAGAAGTGTACCTGTTGTTCCTCTGAGAGGACCCCATTAACAGCTGCATATGAATTTTGTATCCTTACTAGAAAAGAATGCAAGGAAGGGAGATCTACCCTATTACAAACGTGAGTAAAACAGCTCAGTAAATTGGTGAAAAACACAGACATCTTTTGTATAAGAGGATATATGTTCTGCTTAAAAACCTGTCCCAGTTTGACTGTCTTAATTTTAACTATTAAAAAAACCCAACAAAAAACCACAAACAAAAAAAACCCCAAACCCCAAAACATTGTGGCTTACATTAGACTGTACTTAAGTTCTTTCAGTGGATGAAACGTGTAATAGGGGGATATCAAGCTAAGGTAGTAAACCAATATTGAAATACCTAAAGAGGACAAGTGAGGATCTGTTAGTAGCTGATTTTATTAAATTTGGAAGTAGAGATTCCATAAAATATTTTTATGATTATTCAAAGGCAGTTTCATTGCAGACTAACATATTTATGCTTAATACTGTTATTCCATTAAAATTATCTTAAAGTATATTATACTTCATTAGAACTAAATAAATTATTATACTATAAAAATATTTGTTATATTAACTCTAAATAAGATCTTTTTATTAGACTGTCAAGGACTGTTAATTGCCAGCATGATCAAAGAGGGGCTATAGTTTTCAGGAAACTTTCATTTATGATCCTAGGGGCGCTTTAATATTTACATTCTTAATCTGTACTGTATTTTTAGGAGTAAATGTTGTAAAGTTACAGCGATGGTTTTTCATGCTTTGTAAAAGGTTTAATCCCTGTTTAAATCTTGCTGAGCAAGGCAGAAATGTAATCGTTTATCTTGAATGGGCAAGGAATTCCCTTCATTACCTTCTTTAACTAGTTATTTGTGAGGCTATCAAAAATTTTACCTGTTTATAGGGTCATCAGAAATGGGTTTTAGAGTTGTCTTTCACAATACCAATAATCAAGTTCTTTGGTAAGCGTAGTATCTATTACACATTTTCCTGTGTTTCTATGGAGGTATTAAAATTACAGGTGTAGTTGTGTTTCTGTAGCAATTGTTAATGAACATTTAGAGGAGTAGCCTTTGATGCATATCCACAACTCATTAAAATTCAAGGGATCGTTTATATTCATTTCACAGAGAAGAAAATGCCCCCTTATATTTGTCTAAAATGGATGATACACTTAGAGTGGTATGAATTTAATTTAAAAATGGATTTGTGTATATGATTTAATCCTGCTTTATATATGTGGCTAATCAAGCAGCTCTACATTTTGACAGAAGTGGCAAATTTACTTTTTGTATTGAAGATTTTAAGTCCTTACTGTTTCTCTCTTCCTCTCTCCTTCTTCCTAGTATTTGGTGACTTTTTATTACATGTACATAGTATTCTGTGTGCCAGCAACATCTTACTGCAATAAATGGAAAACCATAAAATAATACATACTATTCTTTACTTCTTTCAGAAACCCCCAGAAGCTGCAACTGGAGACTTACCAGCCCTTTCTGATCTCGTTCCTATAATCAATGATCAGTCACAGTACATTAACCATTTAGAAGCAGAAGTGAAGTTTTGCAAGGTATTAGACACCATGTTTTACCTGCTAAACCCCTGGTCCCCTAAATATGAAGAATTGCTTTGAAAACAGCTTACAGTTAGTCTTGAAATTGATTGTTGTAATGACCAAAACTGAGCCAAACACAGTTCAGTAGATTCTGAGCCTTACCATACGTCTCGGTGCCTGGGTAGTGTTTAAGGGTCTTCAAAGACATTTTTACTTCATATCACAAATACAAATAAGCAACTTTTAAGAAGTATTTTTGTAGCTTGAATTTCCATGTAACGAAGTTTATCTTTTGAGTATTCTTATTTTCTCTAAAAGGGTTAAAATAGTTGACAATATTAATCTAGACTTCTGGTCTCAAATTGTGTTTAAATGTTGATAGCCATCTCAAGGAGCCTTTTACATGCAGTTCCTGTATCCTATAGGAGGAATTGTCTGGGATGAAAGATCGAGTACAAGTAGTTGTACTTGAAAATGAGGAACTCCATCAGAAACTGAAATTTTTAACTGCGGAACATTTGTTGAGAGAACAAACTCTTCTAGATGCCTCAGTAAGTTTTTATTTTTCTGTTGTTTTAATCAGTGTTCAGGAACCTGATTCTTTTTAAGGAAGTCTATATAAATGGTTATCTGCATTAGTCAAAATTTAAGGAGAGTTTGTATACATGGATTTCTGTGGATAATGTCATTACCATAGGTTGCCAACGTCAATAACTTGTTCATTGGTTCTGATGTTCTACTGTAATGAAAAATATAAGATTCAATGCTTACATAATTAATACTTGTTTGAAAAATACCCTACGTAATCATAACTGAAGCATCAATATTTTTATTTTAGGCAAATACTCAGAACTCTTGGCCTGTGGGTGGTAATGACTGTAGCATGCGTCAGCCTGTCACCTCATCACCAGCACATAACAAAGATCAGGTTTTTGTTACAGCAGCTGTTGGAGAAGTAGAAAAATGGCATGCAGAACTGGTTGGTATTAACTTTCTTTGCAGAGTCATACCTGTGCAAAACCTGTCAGTGCTTTGTTGTTGCTGCCGTTCTGGTGATTAATTTTGTAACAGACATAGGAGTTTTGGTTGACTGAACCTTAATCTGAGGTCAAATGTTATTTTCTCAAATCTCATTTTCTCATTATACCCTAATTAATATTATTATCCAATTAGACACAATGGCAGGTGTATCTGCAGATGTTGACTTCCCAGAGATGTCTTGGTTTAAGAATGTCCTGTCAGTGACCGCTCCACTGTATTTCAGAGATTCTTAGCAGTAACAGGACACACAAGTAGGTGGGAACAAGCTGGCATAATTTAGGCAGCCCTCCAGGCAAGCTCTTTTGCAATGAGTCTTCCTGCTCCTGGAGCAGTGCAGGCTTAGTAAGGTACAAAAGTTGCTTTGTGCAGTCTGTTGAGCTGAATTACACATTTTGTGCTTTTAGAGATATAGAGAAACCCTAGTGATTCGGAGATTATGCTGTTTCTATCCTGTATTTTTAGTTTGGGAAGATACTCTTAAATTTTTTTCTGTAAATTAATGGGCTAGCATTGCTATTGCTAGTTTTTACAGTAATTGTACTTTTTCTTCATCTGCCATATATAAAGGAAGAGAATCTTATTGATTGGGACTTCTTTCTAAGCATCCTAGTGAGCTGAATTTCTGGAATTTTATCTGGTTTGTTATCACCATTGTATTTAACATTGATGTGGTTGATGTATATACCTAGTTCTTCACCAGGTAATAAGAGTAACTCACTGTATTATAAATAAATAGAATGTGTACTTGAAGTTCTTCAGAATTTCTCTTTCATTTCTGCTGACTTTTAGGAGAATAAGAGCAATGCTGCAATTGGAGCTGAAGCAATTTGCCATATGAGGATCTGGCAAGATAGAGAGAAATAAGAAAATGGGGGGGTTGTTCATTTTGTAGACTTTCACAAGCGTGAAATATTTAGATTTCGCTGACACTAGTGTTTCAACAAGTTTATATCTTCAGGGGAAAAGAGTGAATGTGGCTAATGTCTAGATTTCTTTGTAAAGACAATATTCTAAAGAAAACAAAAGACACTGTTTTTTCTCCTGTCTTTTCTAAAGGAGAAACTAAAACTTCTTTATCAAGAAAAAGTCAATATCCTTGATGGTCAAGTACAGTCTCTAAGGTAAAGTGATTTTTTTTGTTTCTTAAAATTATTGTTAATAACTTATCACTTCATAACAACATGAACCACTCTTAATTTGAATTTAAGGAAGACAATGCCTGAATGTCATGTTTACTGATAGTGTCCCTGAAAGCTGGTTTTATGTGAAGTTTTCTCAAATATAAATGTAGCAAAATTGAATGGACTGCTATTATACAGCAACATTAGCAATACATAGATTTTATAAATTCAGCTGAATTATTGTATTTATAGAAATTACATCTTGATATAAAATGTCTTTATCCTTTTTACCCTTTTTCTTTATAGAAACATAATGTCTGTTAAGGTAGACCAACCAAAGAAAAAAAGAGAAGTTAAAATTTTAACTTGTGTGAGCTGTCCTGTAATGAGTTCTCTTCTACTAATATTTTATATTGCAAGTTTTAGAAGTCTTAAGCATCAAACTAGTTTAGGCCACATAATGATTTTGGAGCGGGAAAACATGGGTTTGGAGCATGCAGGCAGTGTTTCCAGTCATGTAACCTGCATATCTTTAAACGCAAAACCATTTGAAAATAAGTTCTCAAGTACTCCTCAAATATTAAAGGTTTGAATAGGTAGCAAACTATGGAAAAACAGAGATAGAGGCAACTACTTTACAATTTGGTGTTCTGGAGTAGACTTCCCCCTTTATACCTGCATTCATGACAGTGCTGCTAAATCTGTTTAATTATATTTTTTCCCTAAATAAACTCTGGTTTCACGTATCTGAAAATTCTAGCCTTTTCTGTGTGTACAAAAAGTTACTGGTAGGGAGGCAAGTTTAAATATGCCATCTGCAGTGGTGAAATCTTAAACATGCAATGTCAATTGTGCTAGTAAAAGTAAAGGACGATCTTAAATTTCAGCTACGTATTACATTCCCTCCCCTCCTTCCCTTTGGCTTGAAGTGCTATATACACTCAGAAATAAATATTGGAGGCTAAAATAGTCTGAAAATTTCCACAAGTACGTTATTCAGCCTCTTGATTTCTCCTAAGGGGCATGATCTTTCAAACTGTAAGTTCTGCAAAGCACTGGAGTATTTGCTAGGTTTTAATTAAAAGTGAGAAATTATATTGCTTTCAGTGGGATTATCCTTGGTTTTAACTTTAGGCATAAATTTATGTAGGACTTGCTGATTTCTGTCCAAGATTTCCCAACAATAGGTCTGTTGTACGATGACTTGTTTAAGGATATATGCAGAGCAAATTCTGTTCAGGTTATAGTGAATTATATTTAATAGACCAACTACTAAAATTGGAAAAAGTGCACAGAAGATTTCCCAGATGGAAATAAGTATGCATGCAGTGTATATATCATGTGCACAGTAAATCCAATGCAATCAGAATGTGTCAGACTTACTATGTGTATGCTGCCCAGATGGCCTGCATAACAAACCAAAAGCTTTGGATTCATTGCACAATTTGTCAAATTGATCTATATGTGCACAGTGTGCGTTTGTCTGGAACTTCCTGATGTCAGCATTCCTACTGCTTGCGTTCTCCCTGGCCTGACAGATGCTTGGAAAATTCTGGACAAAATTCCTCAGAGCACCTGGTAAAAATTTCAGAGACAAGTAAAAAAACTTACCCTGCTCTTCTGGAGATGTGGTTGACCTCAAGTTTGTGTGTATCGCTGGATCAGAGCAAATGTGCTGAATACCTCTGGATTTTTGCCTAGGGAGCATAGGGGACTTTTACTTTATATTGTAACTTTACAGTTATTTTGAGACCAGAGAAGAAATGTGAAGTTAATGATATTATTAGCAAGAACACAGGAAAAAATGTTAGATAGGGTATTGAAATATTTATACAGCTGATAGTGTTTCTTGCTAATGAATCCTTTACTCTGTTCAGACAATATGTAAGCCTACAAGTTTTATCTAATAATTTTCTGTGTAACTTCACTATTTTCTGATACTACAGAGAGAAGGAACAAATTAATATAATTTTGTCTATTAATAATTTTGATCAGGCAATTCAACTATTATTTCTCTGTTAAATTCTTCCTCAGGCTGCTGACTTGTGTAAAAATAATGTTAATTACAGGGATTCCTGCAGTTCTTTTCAGGTTGCATCTCTTAATTATATGTTGCATATATAAGTTGTAGAAATGTTTGATTGCTCAAATATTTTTTATTTCTTCTTTCTAGAAAAGACCTTTCAGAATCTCAGAAGACATGCAAAGATTTGGAAGGAAGGCTAAAACAGCAAAAGTCACTCATTTCAGCCACAAATTCTAGTCGGGTTGGTGGTCTGTGTCTGAAATGTGCACAACACGAGGCAGTTCTTGCACAGACTCATTCTAATGTTCACATGCAGACCATCGAGAGGGTAACAAAGTAGGTTTGGGGGCTATTTACTTTCTCATTGAAAGTACAGTTGCTTACATTAAACCATATAAGTCTCAGTGTGTTGGTTTGCATTCGTAGAGATGTGCGCTTACGGAACAAGAGAGTCCCAAGTTGAAGTTATAATGCTAAAATCAATGATAGAATATGAGTGTAGGTCCCAACCACTTTGAAATCCATGGTAGTTTTGCTACTTATTTCAACTGGGAAAGAATGTTAGTCATTATCTTGTAGTTGCGATACCTTGGCCTGTCCAGATAATCAGACTGTTGATAGTCTGTTTCCCGCACTTTTTGTACAAACAAACCCTTCACTCTGTCAGAATAAATATTATGGAAGTTGATATATTTTGATTGTTTATTTCCTGCAGAAGTTCCTTATCTTTCTGTAGTTGGAAGTTTTTCTGCTTAGTAGATCAGGTGTTTGGGGTAGGATGCATTGTTGCTCCCTAAATACAATAAGTCAGGGAAAAAAGTTCTTTGGATAAAAATAAATGAAATTATTTGTTGCAGCCTTTTTTTTAATTATAGCTTTTATTTAAATGATTTTAAAAAACAGCTATACAGATGGAATGTAGTAAATATAATTCAGAAATTCCAACAGCATTACAATATTGGGTTTTTTAAAAGAAATTCTGCTAGTCAACCATCTTCAAAAATGTCTCACTTTCTACCCTCTAGTAATAATGGTAGGATGCTGCAGCCTTCTCAAAGTTTGTTAAACAGTTATCTATTTATTGTCAGGTATCTGAAGCTTCTTAGGATTTCTGAAGTTTTAGAATAAGCCTGCTGGAGGTGAGGTAGAGATAGCGGGTCAGTTAAAAGCAAGAAGACTGAAGGGACATAGCGCATATAGTCTGTCAAATGGGTATTATCTCTACTCATTAGATGACCATTGCCAGGGTTTATGTATTTTTCTATTGTCAAGTCCAAGAATTTTCTGGGAAAGCTCTCTGTTGCTGAAAAGTCACGTTTCAAAATCTACTTTTGTAAGAAAAGTATTTGTCACAGACACTGGAAAACATTAATAAACCATAAATCCGTACATTCTTGTCATCTTATATTATAGTGCAGTTTGAAATAAAATATGAGCTGACCTATTTATCTATCTTAAACTATTACTTCAGTTTGAGATTTAACAAAATCTGAAAGCTACATCTTCCTGTGATGCAACTTATTAAAAACAAAGATATTTCAGTAGGGATTTTCAAAGTGACTTTGTCCAAATCTTGTTGAAATGAAATTTCAAAATATGACAGTTAGTTCTCTGGCAAATATAAGTGTGTTACCATTACACAAAACATGAAGGAAAAAAACCCCAAACAAATTCAAACACAACAGTTTTCAGCCAGAATCTGTAGTCGTACCTAAACCACAGACAATTATACTCTTAAGTTAAAAGCTTTCAACATATCAAAATAATGAAAAGGTGCAGTTAAGTATTATTGTTTTACTGACTATGCTTCGCTGTCAGTTTTTCAGTTAACAAAAGTTCAGAGGGGATGCAGAATCCAGAATTCTTATTGTTTAGTTTACTTCCAGTCTGCAGCAAAGGGTTATTGATTTTCATTTGACTTAGTGGTCTGAATTACTTGTTGAACCTAACCTGTTTGGTTTTTTTTCTCCCTATTTTACTTTTAATGACAGTGTAATTTCATATTGTTTCTGAAAAAAGATTGAAACTTGCCTTTTTTTATTACTATTAGCATGGATCCCCATTTTGTAATGCCAACAGAATGTTGCTCAGCTTCAGTGTATTTAGGACTTGAGCTCTGCTGTCGTTACTGGCAGTTTCACTAATGGTCCATCCTTCTGAAGTGAAGGACTCGTCAGCAAGCAAAGGGTATTTTTAATATCTGGCAAGCTAGCAGTATGCTATCTTTCACTCTTAACCCATGCTGGTTTTACTCTTGCTTCACTTACCACCCTTAAGTCTTCTATCTGTTAACATTTTATATTTGATATACCTGCTGGTTTTTTTCTCTTGATAAAAGATATAGAAGAAATAGCTGATTTTTCTTTACATGCAGAGAAAGAGATGACTTGATGGATGCACTTGTTTCACTGAGACGAAACATGAAGGAGATGCAACAAAGAGAATCTAATGCTTCTGAGCAAGTTAAACAAGCTGTGCAAATGGCAGAAGAGGCCAATTTAGAAAAAACAAGGGTAAATTCATAAAAAAAATGAGAGCTTTTCAGTATTCATATCTACTGCAAATATGTTAGTTCGTTTTCATGCTAATGAGAGAATACAGGCATAAGACCTTTATGGCATGTTGATATGATGTAGTAGATTTAAAAGGATTGCATTGCGTGACTGGTTCTGAGCAGTAACATGAACTCTGTATTTTGAGTTCTTAAATTCTCATCAGGGCTGTGGGGTGTGTTGCATTCTTAGGCCATCATTTAAATTCTGACGTAGTTTCATAGCTAGGTGATAAAATCGAATGGTAGAATTTTCAAAGGCATTCATGACATGTAGGAGGATAATTCTCTTATCAAGTTTCTGAGCTGCTCTGGAAAGAGTAATTAAAATGCTTGCAAACAACTCTTTTGCCTCAGATAAGCGTAGTGCAAGAACTGATTAGCTAACAGAACTCTTTGAGGGTAAGAAGTCCTGTCTGATGCTACCTACAGGAAGCTTTTGGTGCTACGTAATTAGTAATGATAAAACCAGTTTTGATCTAATGCTTGTGTTAGCCCTGGTTACTGTATATAAACAACCTATTTTGACCTAAATTATTTCTTTGATATTTAGTGACACCTACTGTGTTAGTAGTGAATTACTATGGAATTGAGAGAGGGTTTGTTTTTTTTTTAAATGAAATGCTGTTGTTTTTAATAGTGGACAAGATTGATATAATTGTTCTATTGGTCAGTTGGTATTATTCATCCAATGCTGTAAGAGAGTGTGTGTGTAGGGTCTTTCACTATAAACAGTGGGGAAAAAAATGAGAGTTGGAAATCCTATGTACTTGTTAAATTTAACTTCAGAGTATTACAGCTCCTTTTTTGTTACTGAAAAAAGAGAGAAAGATTCCTTCTGAGCCTACTGTTCACTGTCACGTCCTGTCCTTGAGGGGTTATGTTTTTAAATTGCTTACTTGTTTACTTTTTTTGAGGTTGGTTCTACAGTTGTGTGATGGAAATGTTACTCACTTACTGCTATTTAAAACTGCACAGAATAGTTTTTCTTCTCTATGCAATAAAGTGAAGTTATCTGATCTTCCTCTTTTTTCATATATATTTTATCCCTATGAAGTCTTACACGGTGTAGTTCATGGTAGAAATGTGGCCTTAGTAAGACAAATTAGTAGAACCTTTAGTGAAATGAGTCTTCATAGCTGTATTGTTTCTGCTACATAAATAAAGCAGTTCCATAGGGTCTCTACTGGCCACCCTCTTCACTGCAGCAAGGAAATGTGAAGTGCTGTCTGTATACAAGACTGAAGAGTAGTATATTCTATGCTCAAAACCTGTTGTAATATGAAGGAACAGGAAGAAATCTTTTACTTATGCTACATTAATTTAACATTTTTACATGCACTGGTATTTCTCTTGGTAAGTACAAACTATCTTTTATTTTCCCAGTCCTATTCTACTCTTTAGGTGAGGTGTTTTTCTTTGTAATTATGATGGAATCCAATAGAACAGTCAGCATAAGAAAAGTGAGGAGTTCGCATGCGCAAGCCTAATGTGTTATAATTGCATTTTCATTGCCCTGTTGACAGAAAGTCTAAACTCAGGTGCTTATCACTTAAAACAACCGTTCTTTCTTGTCTTTGGATTGTCTCTGTAGTTTGTGGCCTCTTGCCTATTACATAGAGCAAGGAGGAGATCTGGTAAGGTTAAACTTCCATAGCTGAAGTAAATCCAGGAATGTATTTTCAACATAAATGCCACAGAAGAATAATTGTTTGAACTGCTTGCTAAGTAGTCAAAACAGTGGCGCTAACAAAATACATGTCTCTTCTTGCAACTTACTTCTTCTAGAGTTGCATTGTTTTACATGTCTACCAAACTACACCAGTCTTATGCAGACAATTGTTTGCTGATGGTGTTGATAAACTCCTACAGAAAAGGATTCAAGGCAACAACAGAGGGATTCCCTCACCAAGATAGACTTGTGATAGGAAAGGGACACTGAGGAGGGTCCTGCAGAATTGACATAAACAGATGGAGACTGTTAGAGCATTCTCTAAAAATGAGGATTTAATTTGCTTCTTTCACGAGCAGCCCAACACCAAGGAAATTACATATAGGGGATTGGCTTTGAGTAAAAGAAAAATAAGCTCTTTAAAAAAACTAATTTGAAAATAAGAGGTAATAAGGTGGGATTCCTAAACGGAGGTTACTTTAGCTTCAGGATATGCTGAGTATCAGTGAAATGGTGAAATGAAATCTAGTTTACTCATGAGCTACCAAGCAATCTTTAGGGTGCTTTAAATACTTTGATTTACTTTTAATGGAGTAGTGTATTTCTGATTTAAAGTGACATAACACTCAACTCCTATCCCTTTGGCAGGGATACATCAGCATAAATAGATTTATTTTTTTTTTCCCTAGCTTTTTTAGAACATAGTGTCTACTGTGCTTCTTGCATGTGAACTTACGTTTCTTCTATTTTGATAGAAAAACACATCTATAACCTGTGTTTTAACAGTTAAAATTAAGCAGGACACTTATGAGTTTTCAGTAGAATGAATCTTTATTTGACAAACCTGAAACAAACAAACAAACAAAAAATTGTTTCTTTATATCATCTCTTCTTCCAGGTTTCTTCTTAGCCTTCTGTACTCAGTAATTCACTTCAGGGGGAGAACAAGTAGAAGTGCAAACATTCTTTATTTTTCCTTCAGCTATGCAGTTAGGCAGTAACCACAGTGTTTGCAAGGAGTCAAATATTGGAGGCTGATTCTAGTGATGTATAATCAGGAATTTTAAATGCAAGGCAAATAATCATCTTAGTTTTAGAAGAACAGCTACTCATTTGGAAAATATGCTATGAAAAATGCTTCCAACTTTGCCATGACCCTATTCTAGATGTTAGCACAGTAAGGTATGTATAAACATCATAACAACTATGTAAAAAACCAAAAGACGTCCTTTCTAATAGCAAATTAGTTTCTCTGAAGGCATTAGGTAAATACCATGTTTTTTCTTCCACTTAAAAAATATTTTTTTTCTAGGCTCTAGTCCAGTGTGAGCAGCTGAAAAGTGAGATGGAACGGCAGAAGAATCGTCTTGGAAGAGAGTTAGCTGCCCAGCTAAATAAAAGGACTGACGAAAAAGAAGCACTGCGGGAAGAAATGAAGAAGGAAAGGGAGGACTTGGCAGCAATGGTATGAGCTGAGTTTTTTCTATTTGTCAATTACAGTGAGCAGATAGTCCTATTCAAACTTTCTGTTTGCTTGCATTTGATTTTGTTTCAGTTTGGATTTGAAAGCTCAGTAAATCACTTCCACCATTGCTTTAAAGCAGTGGCAGGTGACTTAGAGTGATCCTTTAACTGGGTTTTATGCTATGTCACTAGGTACATACGAAGTTGTTGATGTTAGGCACTTTATTTTAGTTTGCATAATATTTTCTAATGCACTTTCTCCAAGTAGGAAAGGTTTAAGCAATATGTGCAAGGTTTGTGCCTAGGCTTTTATAAAAAAATCATTACTTAGGTTGCCAAGTCAAGCACTCAGAAGTTAGCATGTGCCAAAACTAGGATTCTTTGCTACTTGAGCTTAATTATACATATATAATAATGTTAGTGTGACATATGTATTAATACTACAATATCATAATGTCATTCTAATAAGGTATTTTTCAGAGTGATCTTACAATATTCTTAATGTGTCCACCTACAGAAATGTGTTGGAATCTCTTTTCCCACTCTTGCTGATGTTTATCAACTCTTTGAGACAGAATCTGTCTCATCATTTATACTGTGACCGTTACAACAGAGCCCTGACAACCTTGTTTTACACTTCTAGATGCTAGTGTAATTTTAGTCTAAAACATAGGGGTTTTCTGCCCAATGGAATCTACAGAGGAAACCTCATGCTAACAACAGTAGACCTGTAAGGCATGACAGAAGTGGCACTCCTAAGGTGATTAGAGATAGAAAAAATGGGAAGAGTAGAGAGAGAAATGCTCCATGAATTAGTGATTTTCATGCTTGTTTGATTTGCAACCGCTTCAACTATTTCCTGATGGAGGTTTGGTAACAATATAGTGAATTTCTCTTCTGATTGTAGGCTTTTTCCATGTTTTTGGGCTGCTTCTAGAAATACGCCGTATAGTTTATAAATCTGGAGAGCACAGACTGGACTGCATAAACTATTTAAGTGTTTGAAAAAGTGAAGGTTCTTTTTTAGTGTTGTTGCTTGTGAAATGGCTGAAAGCTACTAGCACAGACGGGGAACCATGGTGATATGGTTGTATTTCTGGTATTATGAGATGGAAAAATAATGTTCTGAAGCCACTATAGGAAGTCAAAGCTTTTGACTCCACTTCCAGATATTAAAATAGGAATTAAGTACAGTGATAGGGATTAAGTGATATTTAAGAAAGTGAATTGTCGTTAAGTGATCATCAGAAATCTGTTGCCAGGGCAAACTGAAATAAAAAAATTAACCTTACACTGGAAACAATGAAACATTATTAAGCAACTCCTAGTCTGAATCATTGCTACATTGGAAGATATTCTTGTTACGCATTTAGTTGTTTAGTCACAGACTTGCTTTAGATCAGCGTATGCACTCCAAAGTACAGCCTATTAGACAAGCATTTCATATTGTTTGTTAGTGATGTGGTGACACTAAGAAGTGAATTATTCTACTTAGTATTTCGTCACCCACTGAGCTGTGTTTTATTGGAACTGATTGCCACTATAAGTACTTGTAGTCCTTTTTTAAAATCCTACATACATGTTAAACAACATATAGTGATATGATAATGTCTATTTAAAGATATGGTATGATTTTGTAGAAACCTATGATCTATATGCATGACTTATGTCTATGTATGATTAACTACATTTATGTTTCAGGAAAATGAAATGGTATAAATGGTATACTGTGCATCAAGTCAACCTCTATGAACATTTTATTGCTTACTTTATGAAGTTATTTGTTTGAAGGGGAAAATTGGCATGATACATAAATCAGGTGGATGTATAATGAGTGAAAAATAGTTATGAATATATAAATCCTCTAGGTTTGGCTTTGAATTCCTGTAAGTTAACCTAGAACTGTCAGACACCATTATTTCTACTTATATTAGTAAGCTTCAGGGCTAAATAGCTGAAGGGCCACTGTCTCTGTTTTATTGCTACATTTTTTTTTACCATTCAGCAAAATTTGATCTGAATTACATTAGAATTTTTAGCATACTGTTCTAATATGGTTTTTGTACAACATCATGCTTTGATCTATAGTGCTGAAGTGTTTTCTGAACTTGAAAATTAATTTAAGATCTGTGGTTGCAATGGCAGTTTTCTTTACCTGGGGGAACTTGATTTGGCTTAAATCAATCTACATAAGTGTGGATAAGAAGGTGTTAAATAGTACTGTTACAGCTGCAAGACTAACGCAACCAGCTGCTTCTGACACTTTCCCATACTAACAAGTCCTGGAGGCTAGTCTGATTAATGAAAAGTTTCAAATAAACTGCTGCATGATAAATAATTCAAAATAGCGACCCTATTGTTAAAATCATTTAGCCATGTTCTGCTATATTTTTAATTTATATTTTTATTATATATATTTAAATTCTTACTACATTTTTAATACTATGTATTTTGGCTACATAACTACAGTTGCTTCCAAGGAGAAAGTCTCACAAGATTTAGATACGTGGTTGGTCAAATTGTGTCATTACAGTGTTCTTGAGTTTTTTGCAGGTGACAGCCTTGTCTGAGCATGTGGCTATGTTGGAGGCTCAGGTAGAGAGAATTACAAGGGAAAAGAACTCTCTAGTTAACCAGTTGGAAGAATCACAACATCAGCTTGCATCTCATGAAATGGAGATGAATAAGGTAGGCACATTTATAATGCATATTGAGCTTAGTTTTCCTTATTTTTGTGACTTGAAACATGGAAAATTTTTTGTTTCTGCATTTTCCTCTCCGTTGGTAAGGAACGTGTGATAAATGTAAACTTCATTTGCAAATCCTGGAGACACAGGTTTACGAGTAAAAACATAACTTATTCAGTCTGCTGAGTCACCTTGAGATGCAAAAGCTAAGCTTTCTACCTTACAGACTATGCAAATCACTATTTAAAACTGCAATCCAGTGTTTCATTTAAAGTTGCATTTGGTGTGAATGAGACAGCATAGTATTCAACCCTGTCCTGTAATTGCTACCTCTGGGATATGCAGTGCTAAAATCAAGGGAGCTGTACCAAATCACTGTTTTTCAAGTACTTCCCCATAGAATTGGTATGCTGTGTACGGCTTTACTCATTAATGCTGACGGTATGCCTTTTACAAAGAGATCTTTCTTCCAGTTCAATAGATGGACGTTAAGCTATAATTCTTATGTGTATCACGTCTGGGTGCTTTATTTTGCACATATTTCTCAACCTATTACAGCCTTAATGTGGGTCATAACATGAGAAAGAAAAAAAATTGCCATCCAAAATTTATGCTTATACCTTGCTAAAGTGATTATTGTTATTAGCTTAGTTTCATCATTCACTTGTTACAGAGGTAGCTTCAACTTCATGAAGATGAGGGGATGCTAAATTTCTATAGAACAATCAGAATTCAAATTTGTTAGAGCCTCTTGAAATGTTTTTATACCCTACCAATAATTCTAGGGCCAATCCTACCCCTGCAGTTGTTAACTGCAAGGTTTTGGCAATAAGTTAATTCTTTAGGCCTCTGAAGACTTCTGGAGAGGTTTTCATTGGTTCCTGTCTTCCTCTGCTGCCCCTGCTGGTAGAAATAGGTGAAAGTATTGTAGAAAATTTACAGCAAAAAGTCATCCGGACTTATTGAGAAGTTTAATTCCATTTCATCTGAAAGACAAATGAGTGAGCATTTTAAGAATGTAAAAAGGTATAAATATCCATTGGTCTGTAAAGAACAGTTTTATAGCCTTCCGATTTGAAGCAATATCCCAGAAGAGACGACACTGGTTCCAGTCCCTGCTTCAGTTTAATCAATACAAACTTGAACAGGTGGCCACCTTGCAGTAGTCTATGCTGTGTATTGCACTGTCCTGAGAGATTGGAAAACTGCATTTGTGTCCCTGTTCTGAACTGAGAAGTCTCAAATATCCTGGAGGAAGTTCCTGACCATTGAGCTATCAGGAATCACCCTGACCTTTTTCATTGACTATGTAAGTGACATCTATCACAGAATGGCAAGGGTTGGAAGGGACCTCAGGAGATCATCTAGTCCAACCCCCCTGCTAAAGCAGGTTCTCCTAGAGCATGTTACACAGGACATCGTCCAGGCAGGCTTTGAATATCTCCAGAGGAGACTCCACAATCCCCCTGGGCAGCCTGTTACAGTGCTCTGTCACCCTCAAAGTAAAGAAGTTCTTCCTCACATTCAACTGAAACCTCTTGAGTTTCAGTTTGTGCCATTGCCCCTTGTCCTGTCGCTGGGCACCACTGCAAAGAGTCTGGCTCCATCCTCGTGACATCTACCCTTAAGATATTTGTATGTGTTGATGAGGTCCCCTCTCAGTCTTCTCTTCTTCAGGCTGAACAAGCCCAGCTCTCTCAGCCTTTCCTCATAGGGGAGATGCTCCAGTCCCTCTATCATCCTTGTTGCTCTCCTCTGAACTCTTTCTAGGAGTTCCTCATTTTTCTTGAACTGGGGAGCCCAGAACTGGACACAGTACTCCAAGTGGGGTCTATGTCTGCTTGTAAATCTGACTCCTTCTTTCCAAACTCAGTTTGCCATTACTAAAACCAGTAAATAGCAAATTTTTCCTTTGGAGTTTCATCTAAAATATTTTTTTCTGCATGCATCACAAGTCAGGGAAAAAAGTTTGGAGTGAGAATGTTTCTTTCATTCTGAACTATGAGGAGACTGAAAAATCCATTATTAGGACAGCACCATCTGCTGATTCTTCTGCGTTACTCACTTTGTACAATGTACGGGGGAGCTGAAGGCAAGGATGGCTGTATCTTTTTTTTTTTATTGTGCTTGGAGGAAGTGACATACCGTACCTTGTTATGTTCTTCACATAAAGAAAAGAGGATGTAGAAAAACAGGGTTGGCAACCCATGCAGTTGCATCTTAGGATTTTTTAGTTGCATATGATATTTCAGTATTTAAAAAAATAAGGCTTTAGAACTTTGCCATTCTTCATAGCATTTGCTGCCTTGCATTATTTGCAACAGGGCTAAATTCACAAGCTGTCCTTTGAGTTTTTAAGTGATGCTGCTACTTAAAGTTATGACATTTGGGTTGTTTTTTCCTAAGGTGATTTGATTGCAGTGTGTGTATTTACTTTTGCCCTATCTTTTTTTTAAGAAGAAAAAAAGAAATGTAGTGAAAATGAGAAGAGGTATGAGACTGAAAAATAGAAATTAATTTGCGTTGTAGAATGTGTGTGAGGAGACTGTTGAGAAGCACAGAAGACTGCAGCAGCAAATTAACAGTGTGCACATCTAGGGAGCAAGTCTGGTGAAAGAATGTAAGTGGGGCAGGGAAGCAAGAGTGAGTTGGAAAGTTCTCTAAGAGTAGCTGTGAGTAAACGTATTTGCCTTCTTATTAGGGAATGTGCGTATATTTGTTTGGTTAATAAAGGTGAATTGAACAGGCACAGGGTCAGGACAAAAAGGGGACAGCTTGTCCACTATCCTTCTCCATTCCCTATAGATAAGATCGAATAGAATCCTTTAAAAGTCTTGGATTGGGAAATGGGAGAATAACATCCTCCACAGCAGTAGTGAAAGTTTTGTGGGAGGGATTGGTGTAGGGTTTTTTTTTCTTTCTCTTCCTTTCCCATAACCCCTCCCCAGACCCTCTGAAGATGCCTTCAGGTGGAAAGGAATGAGGAGGTAACAAAATGAACATCCCAACAGTGGAGAACAATTGCTGCCTTTGTGGAAGTGATACTAGATTTCTTTAAATGTCGATCCCTTTCTTCTGGCCCATGCATGTACTTGAATTAGGCATTGTTTTTGAAGACTTTATCTTCAGTTTGTAGTAAGTCTATAGTGCTCTGATCTAACCTTGAAAATTATTGTATTAACGTCTAAACATTTTCTTTCTTAACACTGGAAAATTGGCAAGATAAGAAATTACGCCCTTATATAGGAGTGTGATAGATCCTTTACTTCTAGGTTTTGAAAGTGTTGACATAGACTTTCTTGGGATTTTAGAGGGAATGGGAGAAGAATATAAAACCAGCAACTGTAGTTTAACTGTATTTAGTAGCACTTATATTTACAACATAAATATTTATACTTAGCAAAATCTTGATCCAAATATAATTGAATCTAGAAGGCACTGCATATTTCAAAGTTAATGACTATATAGAGAATTCAGATCCACCTTTTTATATAAAAACATTTACCATATGTAGTCTTAAAATATCTGTAAATTAAATATGTTGCATTTAAATGACCTCTAGAGGGCACCAAAAGATCTAATTGCAAACCCTGGGCTATGGATTCTTCAAGCTACAGATCATCTTGTCTGTATAATCTAACAGGTGTGTGGAGAAATGCGCTATCAGTTGAATCAAACCAAAATGAAGAAGGATGAGGCAGAAAAGGAGCTCAGAGAGTACAGAACAAAAACTATAAGGGAGCTTGAAATTAAGGACCAGGTAAGAGATGATACTGCTATAACTTTGCAGTTATTAGAAGCCTAAGTAGGGTTATTTCGGAAGCTGGAATGAATCGTTTTTCTAATAGGGGTCATTTATTACTGTTAAATGGTTTCTAAATTGATGGCAACAAGCCAGGTATTACTGTTAAATAAATACCTCTTGGTTATCTGTTTCTTGTTTTCAGCCCTAGTATGTTCAGTTTTACATAGTACTCATCCCATGCTTTCATATAGAATTACTCTATCATGTATTCATATAGTGTACTTAAATTGTATGTACTGTATACATGTTTATACACTTTTTCTCACAAATAAATCCACACATAATTATGTATACATGCAGCCTGACAAAACATTAAAGACTCTAAGTATAACCTAACTATACAAAAAATGAAAATAATTTATCTTCCAGTTTCTTTAAAGATTCAAGGTTAATAAATGCTGGGATTCATAGAGAAGTTTAAAAAAAAAAAACCAAAAAAACAACAAACAAACAAAAACAAACAAAAAAAGCAAAAACCAAAACCAACCTTCTAAAAAAAAAACTATATAAAAATTCCACTAGGCATTAATTTTTGATTATCTGAAATTGTGTTTTATAATAATACAAAAATGAGTATATGCCTTACAAGTAGTCTGTGAGAAAACATCCCATGCGGTAAGAAAGATTATTAGAGTAACCTGCAACACAGTTGGCAAACAGCTTGAACAGGTGTAATCTGCATCTTTTGAAGTACCCTTTTTATTGAGGTACTATCTGTTTTTCTCTAGGTATATTCAAACTCCCAGTTAGCTGTTCATAAGTTGTGATTTGCACATGAGTGGATATCTTCTGAATACACAGATGTATGATGCACATGAGGATAATTTTTTTTATATGCTTTTTGTTATTAGAGCAGCCTATCCAACAGGTTTTAAATAATTCTTTTTCTTGTACATAAGTGGACAGATCAGTCCCTGAATAAGAATATATGTAAGGAAAAATGTGGTATTCCTAAAATTATATTTTTATTTACCAGTTCCCCAAAATCAGGTAGGACAGTAAGTTCATTAACTTACTAAAGTATGAGCTTATGCTGGAAGCAATATTAATTCAAATTCTAATAAAAAGATATGTAAAATCTATACCAGAAGTTTATTAGATAATAACTCTTCAATATGTGTAGAAAATCATACACCACAGAAAAACAGGGGCCTTAAAGCATTTTGTTTTCAGGGTTGGCTTTTTTTTTTTACTCCTGCATCCTTTAGGCCTAAGGACACTTTAAAAAACAAAAAACAGGCTTGTCGTCTGTGTCTTGACAGATATCATAGATAAGAGAGTTGGCATAATCTTGGCATACAAATAAAACAGGATGTGTTTAATAAGATATTTGAAGAAGTATCTTGGATTTTAAATCCTGTTCTCCAACTTGCTTCAGGATTGCCTTTTGAACAAATTGCAAAACTTAATAAAATATTTTAACCTCATGTATCGACATACTGGTATTTTATTCAGTGTGGGAATGAATACACCAAAATGTAGTGATTTATAATTTGATATAGTTAAAGCTAAGTGATGGGAGGGGGAGTTCCTATCAGCAAAGATTATTAGAGCAATTCAATAATTATGTAAAGTAATTATATTGTTCATATATGATTGTTCGTTCCTTAAAAAAAAGGAACACAAAGTATCAGGCTCAACATCTAGCAGCTGTTTTATATCTGTGGCTCTAGTAACCAACAAAGTTCTGTATAGGTCCTAATATTAATTTAATATGTTAAAAGGTAACCAAAGAGAGTGTGTGTACATTTGGGGGGTTTGTTTTAGGGTTTTTCTGTTTTGTTTTTTTTTTAAAAATTTAACAAATAATAGTAAGTCATTGCAAATTATTTCATTTAAATTATATGAAAACAACTCAATCACATCTAGCTTTGTTTTTAAAGAAAAACCTAAAATGTTTCATCTTATGTGGCACTGAATACAAACAGTAATTGTTCTTTGGTCTCTCAGCCATGACCTGACCTTCTGGCTAAGAGAGAGAGTTGATACCTTCCTTGGCCACCATCTGTTCATAATAAATAGATATTTATTTTTTAAAAGTAGAGAGACAATAATGTATGAATATTTTCATGCTATTCTATATTAAATGGTGCCTTTTCTGTTTTAAAAGCAAAGAATTGTGTTTTAGATTGTCTTTTGGTACATTGAAAGTGAGTTTACTGTTTCTTGAGGTATGATTGTATTTTTAATTATGCTGTGGATAAATTTCAGTTTTGAAGATGTAATTTAGTTTATATATAGTGACTTTTAAAAAGGGATTAAAGTTATTCAAGTGTGTCAGAATAGGCAGAAATCCCCATAGGTACAACTTTGGATCATCAGATACATACACTGATAGGTCAGTAAATACAGATATGTATTTATCATAAACTGATATTTATGAAGTTATTCAAAACTGAATTTGTTTCATTTACAAAACTTAAAGGGACTATATATCTTTGGTCTTATTCTCTTCTATTTTAATATCTCTTTTCCTATCTTTATTACTCAGTTAAGACTAATAACAAATATTGGTGCCTTGGTCTGACTACCTGTTATTGATACCTGACACGAATATTTCTTAGGAGAAAAATGAAAAAGCAATGAGCAATGTTACCTTTTAAATTGAGTAAGTGTTCTGTACTATCATCCATCATAAGCCTGATTGACATTGGGATTATGGAGGGAGTGAGTGGGGGGGAAGACATATACTAAACAGTTTCTCTACAGAAAAACTGCATCTGTTCATCTGGCCCAGTATGTTGTATAGTAGCATAACCTACTGCCCTCTTATTTTTTTCTTTCAGCCCTCCCATTGCGGGTGTAGCTGTGCTGAAATAACAGTGCCTTGCTTAATACTTTTCCTTCTTAGGCACAAGCTTTGTAAGTTACACCGGTATAATGCCTTCATGGCAGTAAACTGTGTCCACACTAGGGGTTGTACTAGCACAGCTATATCACAGAAAAGTCACGCCCTAACCTCAATAGCTGTTATCAGAACAAAAGTTGTGTGGCATATTTGACACAGCAGGACTTCACTTTTATAATACTTCTTCTATGAAATTAGAAGTACTGCATGGCATAATTTGTGCATTTCTAATAGAAATCATACTTCTGACACACTATGAAATAGTTTCCTCAGATTAGCATCACTTGCTCTTTTCCGCTCTGCGTTATAAAAATAAAAATGAAGTAGACTGTTAATAATTTGATTTCTGTTTGTCTGTAAATGATTTTTATTTGGTTTATAAAATCTTGCAAGCTTCAGCATGTAGAAGTGAAAACAGTTTTGTAGTATTGGTTTATGCAGTCCCAGCCAATTTGGGCGTCATTCCTATTGGATAGTTCTTACCGGTAGCATTGCACCATTGGGAGTTGTGGTCTCCTTGTAATAAAGCAATAGGACATGACAAAACCAACTTCAGAAACTAACTGAAGCTTTTAAATTTTATTTTACTATGTTTTGAGGAATCAGATAAATACTTTGTGTAGACATAAATCCAAGCCGGTAATCTTAACCTGTAAAAAGCCATTCTTTTAATACTGTTTAAAATGGGGCAGATGTAGTTTGAAGTGGTGGAATTCTGTTGCCTACCTTGTAGGTGTCAGGATGAAAAGCTCCAGAAATATTATACTAAAACCCACAGATTTTTAAGCGTTGCCTGTATTGGAAATTCATGAGCCCAAATAAGAAGCAGTTGAGAGTCACTGATATGCACAACCTATACAAATAGAAAGAGATACTCATCAAAGCATTTTTGTGTAGTATGACAGAAACGAAATGATGTCTCTCTACACTATAGACTGACAATTTTCAGACAAATAAAAATTTGGCAAAATTGCAGCTCAAAAGCATTTTGCCAACAGGTATTCTGGGAACGTTTATCTCATTTATCATAAATCCATGATTTATAGTAACCTTATTTAAAGATGATAAGTGGAGAGATTACTGACTTTGTCTTATCAGAAATAATGCAGGCCAAGAATTTGGGTAGGTGTCTGGAAATGCTACAGAGTGTCCCATGCAAGACCAATACAACCTTCTGAAGACACTGATTCGCTGAAATGCTTTTTCTGAATAGGTATCAGGCTTCCATGAGTCAGTCTTTAAAACAGGACATTTTTCAGAAGCTGGGACATTCAGAATATCACCAGATGTTTTGAAACTTAGTAAAACTGCAAGTTTTAACAACACTGGTAAAGGTGGGTTAGGATTATGTGTTTTGTGTATTCTAGTAATGGTCCTATATCTAAGTTTTAGTGACCTCATTCGTTAAAAAGATGCTCTGGAAGTTCTGTTTTGAAAAGAAATTCTGTTAAATCAGTAAACATACTTGAATACTATTTGGCAGGGAGGAAAAAGCCCAACAACCAGACAGCATGAAACTCTTGGCATCAAATTTTCTTACCTGGTCTGATCTTGAGTATAATGGCCTTAAAAGTAACAAAACCCAATTACTTTTGGACAAAGCATTAAGAAAATGTGATAACCTTTGCTGTAACTGAGCTTTTTATAATGTATCATTTTCAGTTTGGGGCACTGAATGCACTAATTTACTAATGGGTAAATAAGGAAGGAGTAAAATGATGGTACTTTATGCCTTGCTTTGATATGAATTTTCTGATTGATTCAGAAGGAGGAATTTAACTCTTTTCTTTATAACTGACCTTACTAGCTCATCTCAAGATCTTTGAGGAAAAACCCTGCAGTATATAACAACAGAAATGTTTAATTACAATTATGGCATGGCTGCTGCTGCTCTGCTGTGGCATTGCTTTCCTGTCTCAGCCATCCATTCTTCAAGGATCAGTGGTATGAACAGCCTTCATTAATTTCTTTGTTATGTCTCCCTAAGAAAAATCCCTGGGACTGGGATTCCCAGGAGCAGAATTTTCTGTACTGACTGGTCTGTGTTCTCTGTAGTGGTCTGCTTCCCCTAAGCAGTTGGCCTGCTAAGAGGAATGACGCAGTTGGT